AAGCAAAGGAAGGCATTTTAATCACAATTTTTATTCTTTTTTGGATACTACTGAGTTTTAAACAATATGTAGTCTTAATTGATTTGGAAGTTATGTTGCAGGTATCACACACACTTTCTTTTTCTGATGAGAAAACAGGCCTGGAGAAGTTACTGAAGTCACATAGTGAGTAGTGAAACCAGTGTTCAAACCCACAGAATCTGGCTCCAGAACCAGGTTTTTTCAAGATGTCATTTTGTGACCAGTAGCATTAGGATTACATAATTTATTCTAAAAATTCAATTTCTTCTACTGAAACTGAATCTCTAGGGATTTGGACTTGGCAATCTGCATTTTTATGTGTATTCCCCAAGACTACTTAATGTAATGTAAGAACTACTTAAAGTAAGTATTATGTTACTTTATACTGCCTTCTTATGCAATAAACCTGTTCTATGGGTGGTTTTTTCTTTTACAGGTAAACTGAGTCTCAAAGTAGATTAGATATATTGCCTAAGGTCACTCAAATAGTAAAGGACATAGCTCTGACTCTGATCTGGACATTTTGTATCCAAAGGCCTTGTTCCTAACACAATGCTCTATTCCTTCTAGACATTTTTCTAATATCTCTATGACCAATTATCAAATAAAAACTAAAACCTTTCTTTTAGTGTGAACACACATTTATAATGAGGTAATGAATAATGTTAAATGCTTTTAAATTGTTTTCTCAATGAAAGGACAGGAAGGATTAAATTAAGGCAACATATAGCTGCTTCTTAGTGAACCCAGTCAAGCATAATAATAATTATTTCAACTAGGATGATGATACTATTTGTGCTTTGGGATCATGTATCAGACTCAACAACACACATACAAAATACATTTGCTATAAATGACATTTAAAAGCTGTTTACTGAAGACATAAAATAATGGCATAACAAAGATGAAATTAATAAATGTGAAATAACTAATATTTTTATGACTAAATATTTTCTGAGAGTACAAACAGAAAAGAAAACAAGAGGTGTAATCTAAATATTAGACAAGATCCTGAAGAGGATTACAATAAGGAAAAGAATATTTCAGTAGTATAAAGGGTATAACTCAAAGAAGCCAGAACAGGTATGAAAACATACGCAGTAAGTTACATACTATCAACAGTTATAAAGCAGAAATTAAAGATGATGAGGGGCAATAGAAACTACAGGCAAGACAGTAATTCACTCTTTCAGTTGATGGTAATTCAAGTAGACAAAACAAGAAAGGGTATAACCATTTGGAAAAAATATATATTTGATCAATTTATTTAAAACTCTGTACCATAAAAATATAAAATACAGTTAGCTTTTCAAGAAAGAACAGAAATTGAGAAAAATTGACTATTTGTTGGGCCACAGAGGAAATCCAAAAAGTAGGAGCAATGTAAGCAATATGCTTTGGTTATGATGAGATGAAACTATAGACAGTCAGAGTGCTAGAAGCTGTTTTCCCTGGAGTAAAAAGATCTGAGTTCTACCTCAAAGGAGAAATGTAAACTTATAGAATATTTAGAAAACAAAGATGTTGAAAATATCACCTGTCAGAAAGCAAATGGGAAAGTCAGCCAGCCTTAAATTTTACGTTAATAAATAATGGAAGTAAAGTAAACATCATGAAAGAATAAATAAAATACAAATGCAAGGGAAGGGAGCCAGGTCCAGTGATCTGTACCTGTAATCCCAGCACCTGGGAGCTGAGGTAGAAGGGTCACAAGTTGGAGCCTAGCTTGGGTAACGTAATGACTTAGCAAGACCCTCTCTCAAGAAAATGTTTAAAAGGACTGGAGATGTAACTCAATGACAAGGTTCAATCTCCAGTACTGAAAGAAGGGAAGTCAGTCATACCTGTTTACAAGTGGATCTGAAATGTTCCGTTGTAAATAGCTTTGAAGCTAGGAAGCAGGAAGGATTGGGAAGTTTTTACAATCTGTGAAAACTAATGAAAAGATGTAGCAAAAATAGAAAAAAACACTTCATGATCTATGGACTCACTTTTATTCACGACACAAATTGCATATACACCTATCTAATGTATATATATACACATCTACATGTACATAGAGATCTGTGTAGACATCTATGTGTACATCTCTATGTACATTTATGTGGAGAGTTGTGAAGGAGATATGTATGTTATTTTCATATTAAATTAAAATTTGGTTGCAGAGAAAGTACTGTACCATTGCATGAGAAATTCATTTATGTATATACCCATGTAACCAGCACCCTTGTCAAAGTATATTGCATTGTTATCATCCCAGAAAGTATTTCCATTAATTGATATCACTGTAGATTAATTTTGCTTTAAAAAAGAGAAACGTACCAACTGTCAGCCTTTAATTTTTGATGTAATATTATAATAACAAACTAGGATAAATTAGCTTCAGAAGGTAATTAATGCTGAGAATGATTTTTATGTAACAAGTTTCAGTATTGGTACATAATTGAGATGCACAAATATTTTAGTCTTTGATTTTAATCCTTACAGTTGCCAATATAATCATTGAATAATGGTTGATGAATGTTTCATTCCTTTCTACTTCAGTTCCCCATTTAAAAGTGGTGTGTCAATGGCAAGTCGGCTTTGTAAGGCTGCAATGTTAAGTAGATTTAAGCTGCTTGCCAAGGAAGCAAAAAGAGACTATTTCTTTAAACCAAGTACATATTATGCAGCTAAGGTAAGGTCCTTAAAGAACAAAGTTGATCATAGAAATAAAAACAAAGACAATGTAGTGGTAATTTATGTTGATTTTACATAGCAAAAGTTTATGGACTAGTTCCTGAATGTAAGATACTACCATGTAATAGTTCAGTTAATTTTCAAATGAATAATGCCAGAAATTGAATATATAAATAAGTGTTGCTGCTTAAAATAACCATCTTGTGTGGTATATACTTATTCTGACAATATTGTCGAAAAGCTTTTTTCTCATACATAGAGAAACAATATGGTTATAAATATTTTTATGTGTATAACGTTGTGTAAATCATAGAATATTAAGTATCCTAAAACAATAGCCATGTAAGTTCTTTCCTATCTTAAAGTTGTTGAAAAGTTTAATTCCAGAATTTAATTTAGACTTAACTTAATAGGTAGGGTAGATAGCTTTTTTCCCTCTTTAAAGTATTTGTGTTTTCATACAAATAATATATGTTTCAAGTGGAAAATTTAGAAGATTTTTTAAAAATAGAAGGTAGACATAAAGACATAGGTGCAATCCCTAGCACCATAAAACAACAACAACCCAAAATATATAGTAATTTCACATAGTAATCAAAGGTAATAATCTTTTAATGTGAGCATATTATTTCATCTTTTGTGTATATAGACTTTTGAATGGATATATTTTAAAACATTAAGATCATACT